TTTGCAGGCATATCCAACCAAAGCGGGAACTAAAACTAGACAGAAAACCGAATTTCTGTAAAACTCCTACAGCCAAGCTGACCCCAAATGTAATGCATAGTATTCCTTTAGATATTGTCGGAACGGCCAAATGCAGGGCTCCATGGGCATCCAGGTTGTCTATGCAGCACACAAAACAGCCTCCATTTATATATATATATATATATATATATATATATATATATATATATATATATATATATATATATATATATATATATATATATATATATACTGAGTAAAGTTGGATGAGAATACGACGGAATATTAAATATATGAAACAATTTTGAAAAAATCTATTTTGATATCATTCACTGATGCACCGGCGACATTAGAAAGAATTTTAATTCAGCAAAATTCATATTAACGGGACTAAGCTTTATTCACGACACTCATAAACGTTATACACATCAAAAATGAAGTGCCCAGTCTCTTGATATGTAAATTTTGTTAAAAGAGTATATTTAAGTTGTGCAATCCATAAATCGAGGATGGAAGGCTATGCACCATTTATGAAAGTATTGAGATTTTTTAAATCCTTTTGGAATTGACTAGATTATCGACATAGAGACATGTCTTCCACCATTTCGTAAATAAACAACAGTGTCAAAGTTCCTTCTCCTCTAAACACTGTTGAAAAACTTGCCGGTTCCATGTAGTTAAAGTCAGCCGTCACCGTGCCTGCAATAAAAATGGAATTATCTTCAAAAAGCAATGATAATAATAATTACTAAATTTAACACAAATATGAAAAACTTTGCTTGTCTAAATTTTGTTTCGCTCTTTTCAATGACACTTTGATTATAAACGTAAACAGTATAGAAGTCGAGAAAGAATTGAATTTTTTTTTTAATTTCATTTAATTAGGTATTAAATTTACATACTTATACACAAGCTGCAGATAAAGAAAAATAGTCCTATAATATTAAGGTATAGATTTCAACTCATCTGTTTGTAAATAAAATCGTGCCTGGTTCTTTTTCTAGGACGTGTTCCTTTAAGATGTCGGCGATAATAGCTCTCCACAACTTCCTATCTTTTGAAGCTCTTAATAAGATCTGGCTTTTCCCTATCCTCTTCAGTCCCTGTTCTGCCATCCATTTACATACACTTGACGTTATTCGCTGAGTCCCTCTGATCCTATTGACTTCAATATTTGCTATAAGTGTGTCATTCTCAAAATCCCATGCGTCTGTCTCTCTAATCCTAAGCACATTATTCTTTTCATAAGTGTTTTCCTTAAAATGTCCTTGTTGCTTACATATTGCAGCTATGGTATTCTCAGTATCCTTCAATATCCACATATCCTTTGCTTCAAGTCTGAAGGAATTGCCCAGTATTCACCGTCATAGAGGAAGATTGATATTACATTTACATATATGGCACTTATATCACTTTCTCACGAAATTTTCCTGGTTCTTAATATTTTTTTTAATTTCTGAAAAGAGTATTTCACTATTCCAATTCGTCTTCGTATTTCCGTGCCACATTTTCCATGCACTTTTAAAAATTATCTACATCTTTTACTATACTTAAGTTTTAAAATGCACGATTAGTATTAATGGCTTTTTATTTGTTTTTGATATTATTTCCCTATTGCCACCCATAAAATAATGACATTTTTTTCTGAAGTCCACCCTGCCTGAAAGTCATTGTTTTGCCTCTGCATTGAAAAAGACGTATTTGCACATTACTTCCACACACCCATTTCTTGTAAAAAAAAATCGGCATTTTAGAATTTAATAGGAAAAACCTCTTGATGCAGAATCGAAGTGTTACAGAAAAGGCATTAAAATACCTCGAAACTCTTTCTTTGAACTATTTCCTTCTCTAAAACTGCTTTTGATCCCGAGTTCTTCTAAAACCCTAAGGCTTCCTGAACAAGTCTTCTTTGTCAACAACCAGGGTATTTACATTTATATACGACTAAACTTTTTACAAAATGTAAGCGCTGATCTACTCTTTTAGGAATCAAATAGACAAAATAGGAAGTAAAGTCGAATTTTAATATGGTCCCCGATTTGGCTTTAGGTGAGACGGAATTCCATAAGATTTGGAAGAAGAAAGTTGACAACAATTTTAAACAAGCGCAGCTTGACTTAAACCTTTAGGTACTCCTTCAAAAAAATGTATTTACATGAAAGATAGCCTGAAGACAGAACACAAAAAAATATTACTTTCTTTTTTCAATGTAACTCTTATGTAAATGCAATTTCAATGTTGTAAGAATAATACATACATACATATATGTATATATAAATATATATTTCAAAGATGTAATCACGCTGTCTCTCTCATATATATATATATATATATATATATATATATATATATATATATATATATATATATATATATATATATATATATATATATTGGGTTATTCAACATTCTATTTGATTTTTCTCATTTTTTTCTTGTTTTTTCGATTACGACAACTATTTGCACCGGTATTTTATTTATTAAATAATATATTTGGTAAATCTTTCTTCCATTGCTTAACTATTTGCGATATTTTTCGCATCTATAGAAATTTTCTCATTTCGATATTACGTATGATAAACTGTATAAGTTAAAGAGGCGAAAAATTATCAAGTTTTTCAACATTATCAGTTTTTTCAACATTATCAGTTTTTTCAACATTATCAATTTTATTTCAGTTGGGGAAATTACAACACATGTCACTGATGATGTTGATGTTAAAAAATATATGTGGTCGGAAATGTTTTGTTTGGATTGTAACAATTTCAAAACAAAAATACGACGAATAAAGGCTTGCATTACTCATTTTCGACGGGATGAAATCGATCTGTATTTGCATTGTACTATCATTTCTGATAATGAAAGTATATTAACCAAAGATGATCTGTACAATAGCTGAATAAAAAGCCAAAACATAGTAGAGATGTATGATATGAATGTAAGAAGAGGCGGTAGGAATAGGAAGCGAAGGTTTTGAGGGTAATTGGGAATAGATAACGAGTGACCCTTGATTTAATGAGGTTCGTTATTTAATATAGAAATCACTTTTTAAATTGAATAGTTCAAAACGGTCGAGCCATCGGCGACGAAACTAGTTCTCCCAACTGGCTTTTCTGATGAGGAGGGTGGTTATACATCCAAGATTACAAAATAAAACACATCAAAGGGCAAGTGAATCTTCTTGCAAAGGCCATTTAGGACAGTATGTATGTATGCTGCCAGTGAGGTGATTATGTGGCATCGTTGAGTGGAAGACTTCCTAGACGGAAGTCATCGGCCAGGCTGGTGGTTTCTCCCGATTAAATCAACGGCCAAGTGTCCGGGACTAAGGCGAGCTTGCAAGTTGGGGGAATATTGGCCGTGGTTTGACATGGAGAGGGATGGTTATTCCAGGCCGACTCGCCCAAAATTCGCTTTTCAACAATAAATACCTCTCCGGCTTTCAATCCAGATATATAAAGGAAAATAGTCCGGGGCTGAATTTACACAGCGACCCGACGATCACGCCCGGTAAAAGCGTTCAAAGTAACTCCCATTGAATTTCGATCTGTTCGCTACAAGAATTAATAATAATTCTTAAACTGATCTGAAACCGACTTCGCACGCACGCAGACACACACACACACACACACACACACACACACACACTCACACACGCGCGCGCGCGCTTAAGTACGTAAATCGAGCTGTTACAGCAAGTCGCTAGCTTGATTAAAACGGTTTTGACTACGGCAAGTTGAAGCCCAGTGTAAAAATAAAAACTAAAAACATGCATTTAAAAAATCAGCTTTATCTTTAAAATAAGAAAAGAAAATATAATTATTTCATCATGGATCAGAGTAACTAAATGACTTCTTTCCGGCTTGTTAAAAACATTCCAAAGAACTTGTGCATTTTGTGCAAGTACTCTTTCCTTGACAGGTGTTCTCTTAGAAAGTGTTACCATATGTACTGACAATATATTTACAAGATGAAAGTTCTTGTGTGTGTAGATGGGTGGATGTATTTCTGTATGGGTGCATACATGCATGTGCGTGTACGTGAATGATAATATGGTATAATGATTTACTTATTTATTTGCCATTAACGGCGGAATCTTTCCCATGTTTTGTTATTGCATAAATTCATTTCTTTGTTCATTTTTATTCTCTTTTATGCACACTTCTTTCTTAATATTCCTTCATTTTATCATTTGTTTCCTCTTCATCTTCAATTTTATACTTAATTTTCCCTCATTTTGATATTTTCTATTTTGCTTTATTTTGTTTATAATTGTATTCTCTGCTGACCTTTTCATTTACGATTTCATTTCAATTTGGATATCAAGTTTAGCTTAATCGTCACAAGACTAAGTAGATTAAAGAAAGATTATAACGCGCTAATCTTTAAAACAGGAATGACATTCTTCTTCTTCTTCTTCTTCTTCTTCTTCTTCTCCTCCTCCTTCTTCTTCTTCTTCTTCTTCTTCTTCTTCTTCTTCTTCTATGTGATGTGCCCCTTCAGAACGTTGATGATCATGGCTCTCTACAATTTCCTGTCCTTTGTATCTCTTAATAAATGTTGTCTTTTTGTAATCTCTCCTAAACCTTGTTCGCCATCAAGTCACTCAAGCTCGCTAGGGAGGTTATGCATTGTTTTCCCATGTCCCTCTTGCATTCAATCTGTCTTGGATCAAATTTTCCGAGCCTTCTTTCCTCATCATGTGTCCTCAAAATTTCAAATGTCTCTTCTTGATGTTAAGTATAAGTGTCATTTTGTTTCAATTTCTTTAAAACTTCCTCGTTTCTCACATATTTCGTCTATGTTATTCCCTGCATTCTTCTGTAGAACCACATTTTGGTTGCTTCAAGTCTCTTCTTCATCTGTGAGGAGATTATCCAACATTCACTGCCATATAGGAGGACAGATATTGCGCAACACTTCAGTATTCTTTTATTCGTTTCAAAAGAGATGTTTCTGTTTCTTAATACTTCGCAATTTACGGCCACATCACGTTGAAACATCGTTTCCCTTACGATCACTGAAGTTAAGCAACGTCGAGCTTGGTCAGTACCTAGATAGGTGACCGCTTGTGAATACCAGGTACTGTAAGCTTATATGTGCGGATGGTGTAATGGATAATGGCTCGGAATTGTTAATCGGAGAACCAAGTTCCAATTCCACTTACGTACAGATACCCTTTCGGAATGCTATGAATTCACCTTTTCTCCCATAAGCTATTGTTTAATTGGTAAGACTTGTATCACTAAATATTCTTATTTCCCACTCCTTACACCAAAAATATTTTAAAAACTAAAAATATTTTCTAGCTTTAAATAACCTACAATCGGTTGATAAACCGTAAAAAAGAATCAATCAATTAATACTTAATGCTTAGCTTTTGTAAGGCGTTTTTCACTATCTCAATTCTACTACGGATTTCAGTGTCGCACTTTGTGTTCTCTATTAAAGCACTACCTAAAATGATAAAATCTGGGTTTAACCTGAGCTCAAACATCATCTACCACCTCTGAGAAGGATTTCACTTAACAGTCTCCTTCAATTGCTTTGTGTTTGTGTGTATTTCCTTCTATTTCATTCTTGTCTCCATTTTCTTTGTATTGTCTTTTTCTCTTTTGTTTCCTTTCATTCTGCCTAATCATTCTCCTTTTCTGTTTTCATTCTTTCGTTTTTATTCATTCACATTCATTAATTTTTCACTAGTTTTAAAGAATCCTTTCGGTACAGCAACACTTAATCTCACACTTAACTTGGCCTTTTGTACTTATTTTTCTTATCCCGATTTAATCATTTATTCATTAAAATCATTCTATGTGCACTTGAAGATCAGGAAATCTCCTGAACAAAACCTAATTCCTCGTATCAGTCATTCTATGATTGACTGTCCACCGAAACTAGTTTCTCACTAAATCAACGTTCTGATGAGTCAGTTATTAACGCCTCTTTCAAAACTGGCATAATTAGTTGATCTGAATGCGTTGCAACTTTATAGATCCGCTTAGCTTGAAGCAATTTGAGAGTGAATGTGATACCAATATGTCTCTCTCTATCTCTGTCTGCATGACTCTTTCTCTCTCTCTCTCTTTCTTTCTCTCTCTCTCTCTCTCTCTCTCTCTCTATATATATATATATATATATATATATATATATATATATATAACAATATAAATTTTGATATATCAAGAACAATATTTTGGAAAATATATAAAAAGTGGGAAAAAAGTTTTCATGCGACGCGTTTCATCCTTTAGAACATCAAATAACACATTTATTACGATGAAGTCCTAAAGGTCAAAACGCGTCAAACGAAAAATGTTATTTATATATATATATATATATATATATATATATATATATATATATATATATATATATATATATATAATGATCACGCCAGATTATGAACTCCTTCCAGAATCCGTAACTAAGGCCCGCTCCACGTAATTGATGTATAATCAACAGGTGTATATATATATATATATATATAGTCATTTTCCAAGCGTAGCTTAGATGTGACACCAGGCCGAAAGTATGAGGCACCCAACTATTCAGTCGTAATTGTTTTAGCGAGACAAGCTTCTTAACTCGGGGTGCCCAAATGATTTTCTAAATGTAGCTCAGATGTGGCACAAGGCCGAAAGTGTGGAGCACCCAGTGAGGATCGAACTCACTATTCAGTTGTAATCGATCTAGCGAGACAAGCTTGTTAACCATTACACCACGTCGAAATACCTGAAGCGTACTTTCTATTTAAATCTTTTGTTCCGCTTTATCCTTCATCTTAGCATTTGCTGACCTAACATCAGATTCTTATAAGTTTTTACCGGTTTATTTCTGTATCTTAGGTTTGCATATTCACTTATCATGTGAGAGCTTTCTGAATATGTTGATGCAGATGTTGTTTTTTTATCGTGATGTTTATTTTATTTTACCATTTTATCCCTCTCTACTACTATGTCTAAGTTTTTCAATTTTTCGACATCTGCACATTTTTCATTTAGCTTTCCATAGTATCTTTAAAATGATAGCATTAGTTGCATTAGTATTTGTTTCTATCTATTATATTAATGTTTTTTTTTTCAGATCATGATATTGATTATAGTAAGTAATTCCAATTTCGTAGAAAGTATGTCGTTGGTATTTATTTTTTACCTCATTACAAACTGATAAATTAATATATTACATATACTCAAAGTGTTTCACGCCATAAAGAAGAAAAAGCGTAAATCAGCGTGCAACTGAACCTTAGCCTACCAAAATATCTTGCGTCAAACGAAAAGCGAAAGGTACTGTCTTAGAAAATAACAAGTCTATGGATGCAATCTTCTACGATTCTCTGCATCAAATCTAGAGTTTTAAGCACGCTAGATTGATTTTAGAATGAAAGATCAAGGAGAAAAAAAAGTGTAGATCATCGGTTAAAAGCCATGAGCTGTCAACAATTTTTGGACACGAGCCAACACCAAGCAAGTTCATTATCATTATAATATTTAGTTGGAGCCGTCTGATTTAAATCTGTTTCAGAAAAAATTGTAATCCGATATTTGCAGGGGTTTAATCATTTCAACATGAGGTACTCAACTAACGTACCACACCCCCGCACACATACACATTAACACACATATACATGAACGCACATACACAAACACACACAATAAATGCACACACACACATACGTATTGTTAGAAGTATTTGAACAAGCATACATATTGCATTTAATCATATGGTTTTCATAGAGCTAAAATGTAATTCAAGGCATTTACAACAAGGCATGTATTTAGTGATGTTTTGTCTTAATTGTTTCTGCTTTACAGAATTAAACTGTTTAATATTTTAAAAATAAACAATATTTTTTGTTCCTAAAATCTCGTTCAGAATTGCAATAAATCATCGGGTGGAGTGGATAATTTCATATTTTGAAAAGGCAAAAATCACATCGCTATTAGGAAGAGTTCACAAATTTATACTCCACCTGTTTCAAACTATTAATTGTCTCTGAATACTTCGGCAATAAAACAGTTTTTGTTCGCGTTCAATTATTTATGAGTAGTATAGAAAATATTGCTCATAAGTATTTCAGAAATGTAAAATGTTACTTTTATAAAAAAGTTTAAAAACTTAATTGCAATAAGCAGAATAAGATAAAAAATAACAGAACAATAACAAAACATCCTCCAACCGAATGAAAACATAATTTTCAGTTTAATATTTAGTGTTACCTCAATTTAACTCTTTGAGACTTTTAGGCATAATTTCCAAATATTTAAGCATATTTTGTGTCAGAGAATTTCGATTTGGTTCCGTAATGCCTTCTTGAGTATAATTTTGCCATTTGGTAATTTAAAATCTATCCCGGTTCGCATGTATAAAATGATTCAGTTGCATATTAGGTTGTAGCTAGTCCTTGGCGTACAACGCTACTTCTACAGCTTCCACAAAGATAATATGTGTACTTTTGATCTTTAAATTCTAGAGAATACGAGCAACAGTTATTCCTTCTGTATCTCGTTATATATGCTACGCTACATATGTCATTTAACAAGCTTTACGAATAAATAATTTTGTAGCATTCAGAGTCATAAAACATGACTAAATACTACCTTGTTATATTGATTGCAATCAAATCTGGTTCCTCTTGCGTAACGTTCTTGTTCAACTCTCAAAACCCAGCCATTAAGACAAAATAAAATATTTATTTATTCAGTTACTAATGAAGCGTACGATAGATAGATAGATAGATAGATAGATAGATAGATAGATAGATAGATAGATAGATAGGCAGAGAGACAGACAGATATGTTTTGTTAATTTCAACCGACAATGTATTACGTTTTTCTAATTTTCTTTTAAGATATTGTAAATCAAATTTGTGGAGACACTGCCCAAAGCTCATATTTTCTTACGTTTTTGTTAAAGTATTTTTGCTAATTTCAGTCATTATCAAGAACTGAATATTGCCAGTATGGCAGACAAGAGTTTGTTAGCTACAGCCAAATATTTTAGGAATATGCATTTGTCTGTGTGATATGTGTTTGTTCATATAAATATTTGAATAGTTTTGTTTGTAGTTATTCAGGCAGATATACATATTTACTAAATCTAGTAAAGTACCACCAGGATAAAAGAAGATTGTGTAGTGTCAGTATTCTTCAGATAGTCCTATCAACATTCGAAACCCTAGCATTTTTGCTGAGCCTGAACAATATCCAGAAGAACGAGTTTCAACTATCAGCAACTTCATACGCTAGATAAAGGCTTTATAAAATGAAATTATTTTCCCGCGTGCGCGTCTGAGAGTGTTTGTGTATTTATGCAAGCTTTAACCATATATATAATTCTTCTGCATTGTAAATCATGTGTGTCTATATACGTGTGTGCATATGTACATTGTTGTGTTGAAATATGTGTATGCATTTGTGTTTATATATAACAGAGTGTTTATGTACATAATGTATCTTTTATTTCAAGACGCAATCCTCTGTGGCTCTGACAATAACCAAGATACCGACTTGTAAGCAAAAGGTCAACATCTCTTTCCGACCTATACCATTAAAATGTTATCGGGTGTAGTGCATAATTCTGATTTCAATGCAACTTACATTGACGCCAGTCAATCTAGTCGCCAGTTTCATGCGGTTTGAATATTTCCTTGTAAGTGGTAATCTGGCCAATGTTGCTTCTATCATTATACTACCTGTTGTAATGGGCCCACATCTTAGTCGATTTGCTTTTTGCCCATTTACTATTTGGCTTGAGATTTCCTTCAGTCTATTTAAGGTATTTGGGAGATATTCCAGCTGGCAAAATATTGGATAAGCTAATAGAAACGAGTTTTATTATTAGTTGCATTTATGATGTAGTTCCATATTTTCGTATTAAATTATTCCCAGTTTTAGAGTGTTAGAATCGTTTTATTGTATTTAGCAAAAGATTACTTTGCATTCTAAATGCATCCTGTTTGTTCTTATATATCTCTAGAGAATTTAGAAATATATGTATGAGTCCAGATGAAAGAAAACAAATAAAATAAAATATAAAAATAAAATATATAAACAAAAAAATAAAAAGAATTAAAATTAAAATAAGGCATTTGCGCTTTCCTTTAAAACCTCTCTCTCTCTCTCTCTCTCTCTCTCTCTCTCTCTCTCTCTCTCTCTCTCTCTCTCTCTCTCTCTCCTTTTCTTTCTACACTTCGCTCAACCTAGGAGAAGGCAAACCCAAAGAAGAAAAGAGGAAGAAGAAAAGACTGAATCCAGCCAAATCACCTGAAATTTTCAGGAACAGAGCCTACTTATTTGTGACTGAAAAATACCAAAAATCAGGGGCGCTCAACACATAACTTCCGTTATAAAAAAATGAAAAAGAAAGGAACGCCGGGAAATAATATTATTTTGGCCAATCAAAAAACATGTGCATAAAGAGACTTTTGATGTTAACCGAAACCAATGTTCGTGCCAAATTCTCGAGCTTTGTCAAAAAGATATAAACCTGACAGTGGCAGATGGAACAAGGAGGGAATGGAACAAAAGATCATTACCGCGTAAAAACCAATCCATGCGTGACGTGTGACGAAGCAGTTAAGAGGTCATTTCCTACGGATATTTCCGCCCTACTCAGGGCTGTAAAAAAACAATAGATTGATATTGACTTATTTTCTGATATTACTACTACTCCTAACATGGTCCTACTTCAAAACACCACTACCGGACCTTTCTCAAGCCTGCTACTAATATCCGCCTTATTGACGAACTTTTTTGCTGCACCGAATAGCAAAGGACTCACTCATAACACTAAAGAAATTAAATAAGAATATATTATTTATCTTAAACCCTTCAGTCAGTTCGTTTTATTCCAAAGTTTCCAGTAAAGAAAATTTTATCCACACTGATTACCCTTCGATGTGAACACACTTGCCAAACATACATCTTATTTTAAATTACTTTTCTTCAAAAATCCGATTGATAGAAGGGAGCATTTTAATTCAATTTAATTTTAATGAAAGCTGAATGTCTCAGTGTTATGGAAATTATTCTAATGCCGATGGTAAATTCTTGATGTCTGGAAATTTAACGTCATTAATGATTTCCTTAATTTTTTTGTTATTTTCGTATTTTTCCTTCTGAAACAAAATTCCCCAGTTATCGGGGAAATTGCAGAGCAGAATGGACTCCCTAGCCTTGATTGGAAACCAATATAATAAAAGGAGAACTCTGAATACAAAACCGTTTTAGTGTTGGTTTAAGCGCATTGATTGCGCAAAAGGTTTACTTGTTACGGAAATCACAGCAACACCGCCTAGTGTGGTGAGGCTGTGGATCAAGTGCCCATATACGCTGCTGGAGACTACAGGAAACATAAGAGGAGGAGGAGGAGGAGGAAGATCATTCTGTAAAATAGGGATTTTAATATTGGCATTTCATGATAGTAAACATTAATAGATTAAACTATCACTATATTTGAATGACAGACATTTTTTATGAACTTTGTAAGAATGCTGCTATAATTTTTTGTTTTAGCCATGAATGAAATGACAGTAACGATGATTCGTTCACACTATATAAGTTTTTGTAAAATCTTTTTCAGTACGTCATGTTTTCATGTCGTTTATTACTACAATAAAATTGGTTCCCGCAATCTCAGCTGTACAGCTATGTAATCATTTTGTTAGTGGCATGAATTTTATTGCGATTTTCAGTGCTGAGATTATATCAACAGTATCATTACTGGTGTTCGTGTAGACGCGTGTTGTTTGTGTTAATGATGAGTGTCTGTAAAAGAATGTATCTTGTACAAAAAAGATGTCAGCTGATACGAAGACAAAAAAGGACGGCAAACAACCCGGCCGCTCTGAAACGAGGCTGATGACAACATTTACATTGAAGGAAAGGTGCGATTGGTGATCAGACTTACCCGTGTCACACTGAGATATCTCTTTGCTCTAATCATTCAAGTGTGACAAACGATTGGCAGTTGACAAGGTGTGACGAGTGAACGTCGACGCATATTGACACATTGTTCCCCGGAAACAAATAAATATACGACCGGAAATATCAATAAAACAATAAATGAAGAAAACATGACGTAAATTGTTTATTATGATGCTCATGGGAATACATTTCTTTCTCATCTCTATAACTATTCCCCCCTACGTACGATATCATGTCCCATTTAATTTTAACCCATAAGTCTTTTTCTTTTATCTTTTTATGTCATTCTCGCTCTCTCTCAATTTTCACACACATGCGCACACACACACGTACACACACACACACACACACACACACACACACACACACACACACACACACACACACACACACACACACACATATATATATATATATATATAACGAGATAAACTGCATAGGTTTTCCTTCTAATGTGTATTTGTTTTAGTGTATATATTTTATTCTTCATATTTTTGCTACACACGTTTCCGTTCTCATGGCCCTCTTCAGGTAAATTAAAGGAATTAATTTTTTAATGAATATAATTTCCTTATGTTCTTTTAATGTTTCATTGTTCATTTTCTGTATTTGTAATGAGCCTTGATCTCATTTTTTGGGACTACTAGCAGAAATCACTCTCTGCCTAAGTAGTAATAAAATCATTAGGTTTGGTGTTAGTGTTGACGATGACAGATGTTTTGATGATAGATTCCCCCCCTATACACACATCACCCCCGAGGCTGTCAGATCTATTTCCATTTCTGTATATCGTATGTGCGCGTGAGCATGCGTGTCTCCGTTAGCTTGCACATGAATCCGCATACACACACACACACATATATATATATATATATATATATATATATATATATATATATATATATATATATATATATATATATATATATACACACACAAAAAATGAGAGAAAAGAACAGATGGGGTAAAATTCCACTGTTCGTAGCATTTACTTTTAAAAAAGGGCTCAATACAAAGTAGAGGAATATATTATTATTATTTTCATTATAAGGAATTATAATAAAACATTTTGAAATCGCATCACAAAAGCTTTCATGCTTCAATTTTCCGCAATCGTCAAGGATGGCCTGTCTATTACTATATTCGTCTCTTCCAAAAGGTTAGGTTGGTTCTGCACAAGCCTTCACCAATATAATCAAATGATTTGTGCGGGGATCTGGCTGTCGTTTTCTAGAAACTGAGTTGCTTGACCCACATACGTCAAAATCTACGGGAGATTCCAATATATATATATGTATATATATTATTTAAAAGTTGTTTTTAGTAGATAGCCGTATTTGAAACAGTTTTTTTTTTTTTTTTTTCTTAAACAGTGTATATTACGCCTATCGGCCTGCACACTCGAGAAAACTTAATAAAGGACATTTGGTTTTTCTACGATTTTACTCCTGGTCACAATTATTTCAACATACCGATAAGCTTGTATCAACTGATATACCCATAATATTAAGCATTTCCACATCTCACAAAATACATAAAACTGACTGTCGGAAGTTTCTTATTTCTGATTTGTTAGTAATTGTTCAGACCGCACATGTCATCCAATGCTAAGAAAGAAGGACTTTATTTGCACCATGTCGTTGAACAACAGGAACAGCTCGTTTCATAGACCAATACGAGACGGGAATTTGTTCCTTATTCAATATCTCACACTTTTGAACTTATACCCTACTAAGGTAATCTTAGCCAATAAACATTCACCTATAACTGCACATTTCTGTTACATTTGGTATTTCGCAAAAGAATCATCATTATATTTTCTCCGGTAAGCATTTTTTTTTCAAAATGTCGGCACCAAATTATATCTCATAGTAAAGATTAACAAAACGGAAGGTTTTGTTTAGTTTGGTTTGTTTACCGGCATATCAAAACCTTATGGGTAATTTAATGCCGAAATTTTATTTTCTTGTATGCACTGGTAATTTGTAATTTCCGAAAAATGTATTGCTGATAATTTTTTTTTTATATTATTAGAATGTATTGCTGTTAATTTCTTCTCATTTGTTTTTATATTTTCATGTTTTGACACTAATTTAGGTATTCACTATTTGCTCATAACTGGGACCCTATCAACTGAATTATTTTCTCCTGCATCGTCTCTTCAAATGTCAATCATAAAAATTAAAATCAACAAAACTTTAATGAAAAAATAAACAGTTTTAATCTTCAAAATTAAATAATGACAATTTATCTATTATTTTCCTGTCAAAAACCTAAAGAAAACCCAAAAAACGAAACAAAAATGTAAAAGCAAGACAGCCAATGCTTTGTTTTTGTTTTTATTTGGATTTAAACAGTCTTCTTTTCTTTCTTTATCTATCTATACCAGCAGATCAATTTACAATTTACATTTCTTCTCCATCTCTGTCTCTGTCTTACATTTACATTTCTTCTTCTTCTTCTTCTTCTTCTTCTTCTTCTTCTTCTTCTTCTTCTTCTTCTTCTTCTTCTTCTTCTTCTTCTTCTTCTTTCATTCTTTTTGTTTTAACTTTTTTTCTTCTCCATCTCTGTATTCATCTTCCGACTGCCTCCCTTTCTATCTCTTTCGCTCTCTCTCTATCTATCACTCTGTCTATCTATCTCATCGTAAGTGTCTCGTTCTCTGTCTCTATCTTCTATTCAGTTATTGATTCTCGTTATTCTTTGGCGCTTCTTGCATTTTCTCTGGCCTTAATTTATCCAAAAAAATAACCGAAAGCCAACCATAATTCACAAAACCGAATCTCTCCTAGTGTGTAGTGCTGATGGAATGATAAATATATCAAGAGTTGCCGATAATTACAAGTGTAAATAGCCATGAATTATTTATGTAATTCGCAACATATATTCTTTGAATACTCCGAAATAACTCGCCACGGTTGTTATCCGGTCTCATTAAGTTTCAGGTTTTCAACATCAGATTTTTCCGCCAGATGCTACGTATTATTCGGACTTGTTGTTTTAGCGGTTTCAACAGATTTTTTAAAAATATATTTACACACACACACACACACACACACACACACACACACACACACACATACATACATACATATATATATATATATATATATATATATATATATATAGCTTTAATGCTTTTTTAAATGTTATACTTAATTTTTCTTGTTGACAATGTTTGCAGCCTCTCCACCTCCCTTACTCGCGCTCTCTCTCTTCCTTCTCTCTCCCTCTCTCTCTCTCTCTCTCTCTATCTATCTATCTATCTCTATATATATATATATATATATATATATATATATAAAGTGACGGAGGTGGAGAGGCTGATTTTTACGTACACACATACACAAACATGTAGGAGAAATAAAATTATTTGTAATATATTTTATTTGAATAGAAGCGTGTACATAGATATGCGAATACGAATATGTGTGGGGAGGTGCACACATTCCAATTCCCTTAAACGCGTGTATGTTTATTCCCAATTATATATATATATATATATATATATATATATATATATATATATATATATATATATATATATATATATATATATATGTATATATATATATATATGTATATGTATATATATATATGTATGTATATGTATATATATATATTTATATGTATATATATATATATATATATATATATATATGCATCTATATATATATATATATATATATATATATATATATATGTATATATATATATATATGTGTATATGTATATGTATATATATATATGTATATATATATATATATATATATGCATATATATATATATATATATATATATATATATATGTGTGTATATGTATATGTATATATATATATATATATGTATATATATATATATATATATATATATATATATATATATATATATATATATATATATATATATATGTGTGTGTGTGTGTATGTAAATATACGTTTATATATTGATACGTGATCTTTTCTCCCTACTATAAAAATATGCTTCAGTTTGCTTGTACATATATACATACATTTATGATAATACGAGTACAGTTCATACTCAAGTGTTACGTATCTATGTATGGAATTGTGTATGTACGTGCGTTTCTTCTCTCTGTGTGTGTTCATGTGTGTATGCGTCAATGCTTGTCTGCTCGCTTATAAACTGTTTAACTCTTGTTGCCACTCGTATATAAACGCAATGCAGTTGCCGCCCATTACTGCTGGCAACATTGCTGACATCTGACGAAACACAAACCCCCGGAGATTAGATAAACTCATTTATCTCTTACGACTTGATCTACAGTGTTAATTCTTTCTCCTCATCATCCTCACGATCGAAAGGATCTTACAATGTTTTTTTTTTCTTTTGAATGCTAGCCTTTCGTTTTCGCTTTTATTTCTTTCTTTTCTTGCCTTTCTATTTCTTTCTTTTGATTTATTTTTTGTATTTCTCTTTCTTTATGTGTCAAATTCTTTTTCTTTCCTTTCTTTCTTATTCGATTCTTTTTTCCTTTTTCTCTTTTTCTTTCTTACCGTTCTAGGGCTTTGTTTTCTAAAACTATCTTGCTCCTTTTCTAGGTTTTTCTTTTCCTTTTCTTTTTCTTTTGTTTTTGTTTATTGAGCCCTGAACAATTTTGACCCTTCTGCCTCAGCTCCTGAGTCAAAATTCGCAAATAATTGGTATGTGATGTTTCACAGTAGTTACAAGTGTTTACCCACTGTTCAACCGGTAGCTGGACATTAAGTCATTTTTCTCGACCACTGTTCAACCGGCGGCTGAGCATTACGTCATTTTCTCTACCACAGGTAAAACGGTGGACAGGGATCAAAGTTTTAAAATTTAGCTTTTCTTATAGTTTTTCTTACTTCCTATTTTCCTTTTCTTCTTTTATTATATCTAGCTTTTTTCTTCTTTCGTCTTTTCTAGACTGCCCCATTATTTTAGATTCGCTATTCGTTTTTGCCTTATTTTTACTGATATTCACCAAGTTTAAGATATTAGAGAATGGTGTTAAGAAGATTACGTCCCATCTAGTGGAGAGGGTTTACCTTACTGGGATATAATTCAAAATCCTGGTTTTTACCAATTGCCAAATACCAACCTGTGGCACTGACGATGAATCCTTACGTATGGAAACTGGAAGACTTCTTGATATTTTCTAAGTTTCATTTAACACGGGATAAGTTCATAATAATGGGACTGTAATGAGGATCAAATTCATTGGGCAAATGTCCAGCTTTTACCCTTTTTCAATATATTCAGGTTGTGTAATTATCTCTTTATTTGTATACTTTTCTTTTTTTTTCTTTCATTTTTTTCAGTCACAGTTTCATTCTTATTATCTCACACTATTCACATTCCAACGCATCTTCTTTTTTTTTCTTTTTCCTAATCTCACTTTCTTTCTTTCTTTCTTTTTATTCTTTCTTTCTTCAAGTCACAGTCATCTGTTCCATATTCATTATCTCACGCATTCCATATTCATTCCAACGCATCTTCTTTTTTCTTTTCATTCCTAATCTCACTTTCTTTCTTTCTTTCTTTTTTTCTTTCTTTCTTTCTTTCTTCAAGTCACAGTCATCTGTTCATACTCTCTATTATCTCACACTATTCCATATTCATTCCAACGCATCTTCTTTTTTCTTTTCATTCCTAATCTCACTTTCTTTCTTTCTTTCTTTTTTTCTTTCTTTCTTTCTTTCTTTCTTTCTTTCTTTCTTCATCTATAATATTCAATAAAATAAGAAAGGTTCAAGTGACTTATCTAGTTAGCCGACTCAAGATTCCTGCATTGAAATGCTCAGAAGTGGCCAGATGTTTGATAAATCTATTGAGCTTATTATCAGATCCCTTATTTATATTCTTTCTGAGCAAACGGACGCTAATACTAACTTTTAAATTTTAAATTTTTACGTCACAAGGATTTAGAATCATTTTCTTTCGACATATATAATTTTGTCATTATTGCAATGTACAGGGTGCGATGTATAAATTGTCGTCTAAGTTACGCAAAAATGAAAAGAAAGCTGACAATACATTTTAACAGATATATTTACACATATCTTGGAATAGTAAAGCGTAAATTTATTCAATAGAATCGCTATTGGCTTCAACCACGGCCTCCAGACGAAATCTCTTGCATGTCTCCTAGACAGTCTCCCGGTTTAAGTTGGTGAATGCTGCCATAATTTTTGTCTTCAGTTCATCTTTGGTCTTACAAGAAGTTTTGTTGGTCTCTCGCTCAAGTGCGCCCCACGAATAATAATCAAGTTGCTGTAGTCTAGGGAGGTAGGTGACCAGATGTAAGTGATGAGGTGTTCGCAAAAATTGTCTGACAGCCATGACTGTGTTCTCCTGCTTGTGCGTCATGGTGCAGATTTATGTTGCGAGACATAGGGTCTTCCAGATCTCTTGATCCAGGGCAGCACTACCCCCTCAAGGCACTCTGTGTTGTGTCTGAGACCCTGTAGTAACATAAAATGGGTGCATAACGTCGCTATCACTAGTGATCACTCCAGACACCATGATGCTGACTGGACATATCCTTCACTTTCCGAATCCTCTGCATTGTCCACAGAATGAAACCTAAACACTCTGAAATGTTCGTATTAAAGCTTCCGTCACGAATGACAAGCAGTGCTTCATGCCGTTTCCAAATTTCTGTAGGAGTGAATTGCGTCATGGTGTTCTTTTTCTCATAGACGGTGCCCAACTGACCCTACTATACTGTGCAGTCGACAAAATCATAATCAAACAACGTGCAGGCGTGAAATTAAATATATAAAATGGTGATGATTTACCCATCACATTCTTTCTTGCATAATTTGTAATATACAAACTTATCGATTTTTTATTTGTTTGTTTTTAAATTACTTGAGTCCATATATTTTTTCGTCTAATATTAAACATATTTTGACATTAAATTGTGACTATATTTATCTCATATTAAAAAACTCGGCAAATATGATTATTTAATATTTATTGTCATATACATATACTGGTTAGTTACTTTATATATTTCATATTTTATTTTTATCTTGTTTTATTTTGATTTAATTTAAATTGTTTTATAAATATAAATATATCTGTCTATATTGCTGAGATGATGTATTGTAACTATTTACACAACTTGCATTGTTCGGATCCCTGTCACGAAATTTGTAAGCGATGGGTGGAAGAAATGGAACAGATTCTCTGTGACTTTACTGTGGGACCAAGAATGTGAAGGTTATATGTCAGCACTTTCATGAAATAAACATGAGAAGAATGTCTACACAAACTTCATCGAACCTATCTTCAGAAACGCCAACATATTCTGGGTTCAGTTCGAAATTACAATGAATATCACCTGAAGAAAGCAGGAGCGCAGAACGACCGAAACATTGTGAATGTAACAATAAAGATGAGAACAATAGTTCGAACAATGTAAATAATATATATATATATATATATATATATATATATATATATATATATATATATATATATATATATATATATATATGTATATATAATATATATCTATCTATATATATATATATATATATATATATATTAATATATATCTATATATATATATATATATATATATATATATATCTATCTATATATATATATATATATATATATATATATATATATAATATATATCTATATATATATATATATATATATATATATATATATATTAATATATATCTATATCTATCTATCTATCTATCTATATATGCATATATATATATATTAATATATATCTATATATTATCTATCCATATATATATATATATATATATATATATATATATATATATATATATATATATATATATATTAAAATTGTGTGTTTAGGCAGCAATCCTTCTTTTATACAAGTTTCACTAAAAACGACTGAGAATGTACCGAGGTGTATATATATATATATATATATATATTAAAGTTTCGTCGTGGTATAATATATATATATATATATATATATATATATATATATATATATATATATATATATATATATATATATATATATATATATATATATATATATATAAAGTTTCGTAGTGGTATAGCTGTATTGCAATTGCATCTATACATCTACGGAATTGTAAAAATAAAGATGAGATAAATGAAAACATTTTTATTATTAATTCAATAGAATCTCTGTCCTTGTCTTCCATATTGAGTACTCTACCACAAAACCTGCTTGCTTTAAATGCCTTTATCAGCAAACAACTAAAAACCACAAAAACAGTCTTCCAAATTCCCATTTATATATATATATATATATATATATATATATATATATATATATATATATATATGTGCATATATATATATATATATATATATATATATATATATATATATATATATACATATATATATATATAATACACATATCTACATATATAAACACACATATATACATACATATTTACATACTTGCATATATATATATATATATATATATATATATATATATATATATATATATATATATATTTAATTTTATAATATTTGAACGCTAATCGTAAATTTAAATATTTTCATTTGTTAAGGATAGCATGGTAACGCTTATTTTTGAAATGTCACACGCTTATTCCAAAATAAAATTCATTGTATGTTAAGCATGTGGCAACACAAATTTTGAAATGCTACATATTCGATTTGTAATAAATTTATATCGCCCCCACCCACGCTGTAAAACCTTGGAAAAAAAACAGCGCTTTTGTGATTTAGCACGGGACACGGACTGCTAAGATGTATTTGAAAAGTGGCTGAAGATGAGAAAACACACTGTTTTGTCGAAACAGCTATCATTTTGATGATAATCGATTAGTAATTATTCTACTTTATATAACCAAAAATTAACGCTATTTTTTTTTTTATTTTATATTTGTTTTTATTTTAATGGTTAGGGAAATTATTACCTAAAAAAATTAAGATTGTTGACAATCTTTTTATTAAAATATTGAACTTATCCCAATTATCTAATTTAATTTAATTTTTAAAATTATTTAAGTTTTTATCTGTATTGATTACATTCATACGTGTAAAAATATACACATATTCACAATTAAAGATAAGGAAATTGAATAGAGTATTGCTCTGGCGATAGTTTTGTCCAGTACAGCAAGATGTTACAAAATCTTATGCTAAAATATTACTTAAAATCTCGAATCATGCTCTTAAATATTCTCTTCAAGTCTAGTCTATTAAAGGAATGTTATGCATGGTACCCAATCCGTTTAGAAATGTCTAAATTATCAACTGTATACAACTGTTTTCACAGATCAATGATTAAAAATGACATCGATTTAATGAATGCTGTAGGTCTTAAAGAGGACTATCCTTCATTGAATCTCGGCTAACTGAAGCATATAACAGAAATCATATTGCTTGAGGATTTCAGTAGAGGCAAAAAAATAAAATAGCACATGTAACTTGAATAGAAAACAATGACATCAAGATGTTGACGTTTCCCGCTACTTCAAACAAAAGACTAGGAAAAAAACAACCCTCGGTACTTGAAAGAGTTATAACAGCTACTGGACTTGAGAAACCTATTTTCCTGAAAAATTGTTTTAAGAGAAAGATTTTATAAATTTCAACCGACAGCAGTACTGGCTGCTCGATCAGTGAACGCCAAATGTTTCCTTTTAAGGATATGGCTAATATTACCATTACCATTTCTTCGTTTCTGTTTTCAATAACCTAATCATCGGCCCCAACCACACATTTTCTCCAACGAATTGAAAAACCAGTTTTCCATCATCTTTTGACGCCTTTCCGACAAATATTAACCTCCCCATATTTTTCGATAGACTACTCCCAAACCCATCACCAACGCCACCAGCTAAAGTAGTATCATCCCTTCTGTAAGATAGTCATTCATCACATTCTCGTCTTTTCCACCTTGCACCCCGGCCCCAGAGAAAGCCAGTGCTGCCAGGCTAATAATTTCCATCAAACCATGTCGGTGGTCATTGTGGTGGGACTGTTGATGGCGAATGGGATGGGAATTGCACGGGTCGAATGCAAGGAGGTGTTACTTAGTGGCCGACAGTTCAAAGTTGGACTTTTAATGCACTAAGTTCCCACCGCGATGCCCGAGGCCAAGTTGAGATAAAATGAAAATAAAGAAATTTTTGCTAATAAAAAATAGTGCGACGGTTTTGCTTAAAGAATGGAGAAAGATCTACTTTCCAAACTTGAGACGTTTATTACACTCTGTACTTGTTGGAGAATTCGTAGTTACTTATTTTTTAACTGATACTCTATAATCTGTTCGTGAGTGTGACTATGAACTCCCTATAATGCATTTATTAGTTGCTTAAGTGCAAGTGTTTTGTAAATTTAATTTTTCCCGAATACATGGACGCGAATAAAATAAAAATACAAAGAGATCCGGAACATTTGTCTAAGGAACATTAGTCTAAAGAACACTGGAATATAGGTACAAGGAAAATTGGTCTAAGGAATATAGGTCTAAGGAAAATTGGTCTAAGGAAAATTGGCCTAAGGAAAATTGGCCTGAGGAACACTCGTCTTAAGAATATACGTCTAATATTCGTCTAGATTTATGGTCTAATGTGGGTTGTTACAAACTACATGTATCATCAGTAATTAATGTTACTATAAGTGTCTTAAATATTATTGAACTCTTAGTATTAATATACAATACATGCCGATAACTGCTTATAAAGAACATATGTTATCAGTAATTAATGTTGCTATAAGTGTCT